CCCCAGCTCCTCCCAAAACCCCCCAGCTCCTCCCCAAAGCCCCCAACTTCTCCCCAAGCCCCCTCGGGTCCCTCCAGGAGCTCCAACCTCCCCCCTGCCCCTTCTCAGGCCCTTTATAAAGAAACCGCGGCGCTCCTGCCCCTGCCAGTGACTCTCCCAAATTCCCACTCGCTGATGGGGGGGGGCGAGGCTCAGCCCCGGGGGTTGCTTCTGCCAAAATTTAAAGGCGCCCCCCGAGCTGGGGTTTGGGGCATTTCCCACCCCCGTGAGCGGCGGAGCAGCCGCAGCTTCGGCCCCGTTTTTGTCCAGCCCAGCCCAGGACACTCGGGGGCTTTGCCGGGCTGGGCTGGGCCGGTTCCCGGTGCCCGGGCCACCGGAGCAGCCCCGTTACACAACGGGGCCCGGAGACGCGCCGCCCTCGCCGTTAGGAAACACAAATCGCTGCCAGGAGACTGGAAAAGAGGAAAAAACCCCCTCGGCACAACCCCCGGCTCGGCAGCAGCCCCAGAGCCGAGCCCCGGGATGCTGCCAGGGTGGCACCGGTGCCCACCGGGACATCCCCGATCCCGGGGGGCTCTCCCGGCCCGGGTGGTCCCCGGGCAGCCCCAGGGGCTCATTTTGCCCCTCCCAAGCCGAACCGGTTCCTCGGCAGGGCGGGCCGGGGGAGCTGCCGGGTTTTTTTTCCCTTTCTCCTCCTTTTTTCCTTTCTCCTCCTTGTTTCCTTACCCAGCCCTGGCCGGTCGCTGCCTCCCGGCCGGGTGTGGCCGGGCGGGGCTATAAATGCCAGGGCCCGAGGCTGGCTCCTCTTCCGCCCTGCCCGCTCTCCCGTGCCCGCCTGAGCTCTCGGTGAGTGCTTTCCCCCCTCTGCTCCCTCTCCAGATGTTCTCCAGATGTTGGCGAGGCGCGGCTGCCCCACCTGCGGCGCCCTGGCAGAGGTTCCTGCTGCAGGTGCCGAGCTGGGAATGTGGATTTCACGGGCGAGGGCTGGGAAAAGCTCCGGAACCCCTTCCCTGCCCCGTCCCCCCGTTCCGGGGCTGCCCAGCCCGGCCGGAGCCGGGCGGGGAGCGGCGCCTCCCGGGACGTGGCACATCCCGGGGCCTGGCACGGGCCGTTCCCCGGGACCGGCCGTGCCCGGGGACACCGAACTCCTCTGTCCCCTCCCCGTGTCGCCAGGCTTGCCGCTGTCCCCATGGCGTGTCCCCTGGAGCAGGCGCTGGCCGTGGTGGTCGCCACCTTCCACAAGTACTCGGGCAACGAGGGCGACAAGTACAAGCTCAACAAGGCCGAGCTCAAGGAGCTGCTCACCAAGGAGCTGCCGAGCTTCAGCGTGAGTGCCGGGGCACTGCGGGCTGCCAGGGGGTGCCAAGCCCGGGTTTAACCCCCCCTTTCCCCCCTGCTCCCCGGGCAGAAGCAGACCAGCGAGGAGAGTTTACAGAAGCTGATGAGCAGCCTGGACTGCAACAGCGACAGCGAGGTGGACTTCCAGGAGTACGTGACCTTCCTGGCCTGCATGGCCATGATGTGCAACGATTTCTTCCAGGACCTGCCCGACAAGATGCCGCGCAGGAAGTGAGGGCAGGGCCCGGCAGCGCCCCGGGACCCTCCCGATGTCCTCCCGATGCCATTTCAATAAATCTCTTTGTAAATGAAGCGTTCTGGTCTCAGGGTCTCTCTGCCCGGGCTGGGGGAAGCCGGGGGCGATGGAGGCTGTGCCTGGCTCTGCCCTTGGCTCTGCCCTTGCCCCTGGCTCTGTCCCTGTCCCTGTCCCTGTCTCTGTCCCTGCCCCTGTCCCTATCCCTGTCCCTGTCCCTGTCCCTGCCCCTGTTCCTGTCCCTGTCCCTCTATCCCTCTATCCCTGTCCCTGCCCCTGTCCCTCTCCTGTCCCTGCCCCTGCCCCTGGCTCTGCCCCTGTCCCTGTCCCTTTGTCCCTGTCCCTGTTCCTCTGTCCCTGTCCCTGTCCCTGTCCCTGTCCCTGTCCCTGTCCCTCTATCCCTCTATTCCTATCCCTGTCCCTCTGTCCCTCTATCCCCGTCCCTCTCCCTGCCCCTGTCCCTCTGTCCCTGTCCCTCTATCCCTCTATCCCTGTCCCTGCCCCTGTTCCTGTCCCTCTGTCCCTGTCCCTCTGTCCCTGCCCCTGTCCCTGTCCCTCTGTCCCTGTCCCTCTGTCCCTGTCCCTGGCTCTGCCCCTGTCCCTGTCCCTTTGTCCCTGTCCCTCTATCACTCTATCCCTGTCCCTGTCCCTCTGTCCCTGTCCCTCTGTCCCTGTCCCTGTCCCCCTGTCCCTGTCCCTGTCCCTGTCCCTGTCCCTGTCCCTCTGTCCCTGTATCCCCGTCCCTGTCCGGGGTGGACTCCTCGTTCCCGAGGCCTCCCGAACCTCCCCCGGGGCCCCGTGGGGCTGAGTCAGCCCTGCCCGGCCCCTCCTTCCCCGGAGCCGCGGACGTCCCGCAGGGATGCGGGCACGGCTCCGAGCTGGAACTGCGCCCGCCCGGCTCCGTCGCCCCGCGGCTGTCGCGATTGTCGCCTCCCCACCGGCCGCGTTCCTGCCGGGGTGCGGCTGTGCGGAGCAGCCGCTTCCCGGTGCTCCGGGCCCGGCCCCGCCGCTCCGTTCCTCCCCCGGCGCCCTTTCCCCTCGCCGTGAAAAGCTTCGTCCTGCTCCGGGCTCCAGATGTGCCACACGCCCCTTCCAGATGTGGCTGTGCCCCCTCCATCACCTTCATGCTCAGCTCCTGGGCGCCACAAAGGGACAAAGAGGAGCGGGAACGGCCTCAGGCTGTGCCAGGGGAGCCTCGGGGTGGATATTTGGAAAATTCCTCCTGGAAAGGGCGGCCAGGCCTTGGAAGGCGCTGCCCAGGGAGGGTTGCAGTGGCCACCCCTGGAGGTGTCTGAGATCCTGGGATTTTAAGATTTGGGGAAAAATATATCTCCATCCCTCCAGAGTCAGAGAACCCCCAGAGCACGGGGCTGCACCACCCCCACACCCACGGCAGGTGAGGGGGAACCCCAAAATCCTGGACCTCACCTGTGGCTGTCTGTAGGTGGAATGATGCTGCCCAAAGGGATCCACCCTGAATTCATCCCTCCTCGTGAGATCCACCCTGAATTCATCCCTCCTCATAGAGATCCACCCCACACCGTCTCCCCTCACAGGGATCCACCCTGGATTCATCCCTCCTCACAGAGATCCACCCCACACCCTCTCCCCTCACAGGGATCCACCCTGAATTCATCCCCACTGTCAGGGATTCATCCTAAATTCACCCCCCCTCACAGAGATCCACCCCACACCATCTCCCCTCACAGGGATCCACCCTGAATTCATCCCTCCTCACATCCACCCCACACTGTCTCCCCTCACAGGGATCCACCCTGAATTCATCCCCACTGTCAGGGATTCACCCTAAATTCATCCTGCTCACAGGGATCCACCCTCTCCGCTCACAGGGATCCCCCTCCTGTCCCCATGGCACTCACCTGTCCTTGTCCCCCTCCCCAGGTGCCCCAGCCACACCCTCTGCCATCCCCAGGCCTGCCTGAACCCGTGTCCCTGTGGTGCCACCCATGTCCTTGTCGTGTCACCCGTGTCCTTGTCGTGTCACCCGTGTCCCTCTGCCCAGCCCACGCGTGTCCCCTTCCCGTTGAGGATGCGCCCATCCCCGTCCCAAAACCCGTCCCTTTGTCTCCCTCTTTTGCAATTTTGGGCTTTTCTGGCACCGGTTCCCGGTGTTCCGGGATCACGAGGCTGGCGGGGAGATGTCTCACCGCCGTTGTCATCATCACTTCCCAAAAACCTTCATCACCAGCACGGGGCTCCTCACCAGCCCCCTCCAGGCACGTGGGGCTCTGCAGCTCATTCTGGCCACTGGGAGCACTGGGGGGCCACTGGGAGCACTGGGGGGCCACTGGGAGCACTGGGGGGCCCCAGGCCTGGGGGACAGCTGGGGGTGGGCACATTTGCCAATGCCCTGGGTTATCCTCAGGCAGCAATTCCCGCTGCCGGGAAGTGGCACCTCCCAAGAGAATTTTCAGGCTTTGAAAATTCTCTCCCAGTTCACCTCCCACGCAGCAGGGCTGTGCCCGGGGGTGACTCCCTGCATCCAGGGGGAATGTCCTCCTGCAGGGGTGGGATGTGCAGCCCACCCCTGGCACCTGGGAGGTGAATTGGGAGAGAATTTTCAAAGCCTGATGAAATGAAATGGAAGTTTTTCAAATGTCTCTCAGTTGGCCCCGTCTGTGAGTCAGAAAAGGGATTAACCCGAGACCTGTCCAGCAGCCAAATTCACCAAAAATTGGTGACAAACTACATTCCCACAGGTAAAACCCACTGGAGACCCCCACCCAGAAAAGTTCCTCTTCAATCATCTACATTGAACACTTGGGGAACGTTCCAGAAAACCTCCTGCACCATCGCTGACCCCTGATGTAAATTTTTGGTGTTTGCTTGTTTTGCCCGACGAGTTTGGGGCTTCCCCTCCCTCGATAACAGTTCCTGGATGGGGCGAGGAACCTGAAATCCTCACCTGGGCGTGCTGCGCTGCCTTGCACAATTCCTGGGGTGACTGCCCTGACGGGAGCCGAGGCTGGCACGGCTGGCAGCTCCAGGAGGGTATAAAAGGTGCCATCCCCAGCTCAGCATCACCCGATCCTGCTGCTCCTCTCGTCCCTCTGCAGAGCCCAGACCTCCTCCGAAGGTGAGCAGCTCCTCCCAGGTGCTGCGGGACGAGCGGCCGGTGCCGGTCCTCGGGTTCCGTTTGGCCGCTCTGCAGAACGAGTCAAACATTTCACGCTTTGGGACACGGTTTGGATGTTTTGCTCTTTGTCCCTTCCCAGCAGGATGAAAACCAACCTGGAGCTGGCGCTGGAATGCGTCGTCAACGTCTACCACCGGTACGCGATGCGGCACCCCATGGACGACTACCTGAGCAAGAACGAGTTCTCCAAGCTGCTCAAGGAGACGGCCGAGCCTTTCCTGAAGAACACGGTGCCGGTGAGAGCCCGGAGCCGTGGGGTGGGGAAGGGGTTGGGGGATCCTCTCATTCCCAGGAATGTTGGGCACCTCCCGCTGGATTGGGGTGCTCATCCTTGGGCACTTCCAGGGATCCTTGGGGATGGGGGCGGGCCACAGAATTCACAGAGTCGCTGGGTTGGAAGAGACTTCAAGAGGATCGAGTCCAACCCAGCCCCAACAGCTCAACCAAACCCTGGCACCCAGTGCCACATCCAGGCTTCGTTTAAACTCCTCCAGGGGTGGCGACTCCCCCCGGCAGGCCACCCCAGAACTTTATCCTGGGAGCTTCCCAAAGCGAGGGAGGGTTTTTGGGGTCCAGCCCTGGCTGGGTGAGCCTCGTGCCACAGCTGGGGACAGGCAGGGTGACCCCGAGCTGCCCGTGCTCCCCCACAGCCCAACACCGGCACGGACAGCTACATCCAGCAGCTCTTCACCAAAGCCGACGCCAACCACGACGGGCGCCTCAAGTTCACCGAGTTCCTGACCACGCTGAGCCTCGTGGCCATCGATGCCCACAACAGGTCCCACAAGGGCCCTGGTGGTGACCATGGCCACGGGCATGGACACGACCACGGGCACGGGCACGACCACGACCACGGGCACGGGCATGGGCATGGGCCTGGCCAGCGTCACTGAGATGGGAACATCGCCCACGGTGGCCGAGCCAGGGACTCTGCGTCCCCCCAGGAGCCTCAGCCCTTGCCTGTGACCAAACCTTTGTCACCTGCTTCTACTTTGTGGCATTGAAATAAAATCTCTTCCTTTGAGCACCAAACCCATCCGTGTGCCGTGTCCTGGGGAGGGGCTGAAACCCAGATTGAACGGGAAAAGCAACGGGAAGGGGAGAGTGGCACAGGGGGGCACTGGTCTGGGCAGAGAGGGGGGGTCAGGACAAGGTTTTGGGGGGTCCCAGTGGGCAGCACAGGCCGAGGGGGCTCCTGGAGGGTGTCAGATCCCAGTGTGGAGCTCCAGCAGGTGCCAGAGGTGAAACACAGCTGGGATGGGGGGGTCCTTCCTCAGGTCTCTGCCAACACGCAGCCCTGGAACTGGGGGTGCCACATCCTGGGGGTGCCACATCCTGGGGGTGCCACATCCTGGGTGTGTCACAGCCCAGGGACACCAGATCCCGAGGGTGCCACATCCTGGGGGTGTCACAGCCCAGGGACACCAGATCCCGAGGGTGCCACATCCTGGGTGTGTCACAGCCCAGGGACACCAGATCCCGAGGGTGCCACATCCTGGGGGTGCTGCATTCCGGGGCTGCCACTTCCCAGGCGCCTGTGAGATGTTTTTGTGACCCCCCCAAAACAACCCAGCAGCCCCAGCAAAGAACGAGGCCGAGGGGCTCTGGGGGCTCCGTCCTGCGAGCTGCTCGGAGGAGCGGCCGCTCTGCAGAATGAGTCAAACATTTCATGGTTTGGGACACATCCCCCAGGTCACCACACACCCAAAAGCCACCGTGGGCTCCTGGGGGCTGAAGCAGGAGGGGAGAAGAGCTCCTGGACCCATCAGTGTGGGGGAACCCCCGGCTCAGGAGGCTCCAACATCAGCCAAACCAGGAGCCTGTCCCGGGTGAAACCAGGGGCATTTGGGTGGTTCCTCGGTGACACAGGGCAGCTCTGAACTTGGGGAGCCACCCTCGTCCCTCGGGGGAAATGTCACTCACTGCCAACCCCGTGTCACTCGGGCATCGCTGCCCTTGCAGGGATGGGCATCTCCAGCTGCTCCCCCACAGGTTTTAGGGGAAAAATGGGGAAATTTGGAACTGCACCAGAGCACCAGATGCTCTCCCTGCCAGCTGGGGGACGAGGATGCAGTTTGGGATGGGTGTCACTCCAGTTTGGGATCCCAGTTTGGTATGGGTGTCACTCCAGTTCAGGATTGCTGACACTCAAATTTGAGATCGATGATGCTGCAGTTTGGGGTGAGTGACATTCCAGTATGGGATCACAATTTGGGATGGATCACCCTCCAGTTTGACATTGGTGACACTCGAATTTGGGATCCCATTTGGGGATGGGTGACACTCCAATTTGGGATGGGTGACACTCCAGTTTGGGATCCCATTTGGGGATGGGTGACACTTGAATTTGGGATCCCAACTGGGGATGGGTGACACTCCAGTTTGGGATTGGTAACAGTGCAATTTGGGATGGATGACGCTCCAATTTGGGATGGGTGACACTCCAATTTAGGATCCCAACTGGGGATGGATGACGCTCCAATTTGGGATGGGTGACACTCCAATTTAGGATCCCAACTGGGGATGGGTGACACTCCAATTTGGGATTGGTAACAATGTAGTTTGGGATTGGTGATGCTCCAATTTGGGATGGATGACACTCCAATTTGGGATCCTTATTTGGGATGGCTGAGACTCCGCAAGGAGCGGGGCCGGGAAACAAAAGGAGCAATGCAGTGAGTCAGGGATACCGGAATAAATCTGTGCAATGCCCCAGGGATACAGGAGCATCCTCAAACAGGAATGGGCACCTCCAGTTCGCCTGGTCCTTCCCTGCTCCTCCTACCCATTGTCTGCTTTTAAATCTTCTCATTGTCTGATTTTAGATTTCCTCATTGTCTGATTTTAAATCTCCTCATTGTCTGCTCATTCTTGTCCCTGACACGCGTGACAAGAGGTGACATTTGGCATGTGGCAACATGTGGCAGTTCCTGCACCAGCCAGAAAAGACCCTGGCCTTGGGTTTTCTCCTGATTTTGTGGCCAGTTTCCTCCAGAAAATCTCTGGAGCGAGAGCAGAGGTCTGCTACAAGTAGAAAACAATGGAAAATATTCTGGAAGACAAGTCGTAAAATACAGATGCTGCTTTGTCTTGGGCAGTGTCCAACCAGTTAGGGCTGTAGAAAAGAGAAATCACATTAAAATCTCACCCAGAGGACAAAGTTATCTCTGTTTCCATGTGGAGCAGCCCAATAATTGCTCCTACAGCAGAAGGAAAATGTGCAAGTTTTTTACCGCGTTGCAAAACTCCCCAAGTTTTGGCAACTTCTGCCCGAACGGCCTTGCCCTCATCGAGGTATGACAAAGCCGAGGTTCTTCCCCTCCCTGAGCCCTGTCAGAGGTGATGGAGGGGCCAAGGACAACATTTCCAAAGGCTGGTGGGTGCAACCAGGAACTGGACGGGAGGAATGAGGCTGGGAGGGGCTCGTGGTTCCCACCTGGCAATTTCCAGGTGCGGGAAGTGTGAACTCAAGCCGATGCTTGTGGCAGGTGTGTCACCAGCTCTGATGAAAGAGGACCTCATGCAGGTATAAAAGGGCTGCTCCAGGCTCCCGGGTCACACCGACGCATCCATCCCCTGCAAACCCTCCTCGGAGACCAGGGTGAGTAGGACAAGGATGGTCCTTGCAGGGAAAAGGGTGAGGGAGAAGCAGTTTGGGATCCACCAGCCCAGGGCAATGGGTTCTCCTCGGGGTAGAGCAGGAGGTTGGTTTGGGTTGGAAAATGAGGGCAAATTAATGGGATTTTGGTGCCATCTTGGGTGGAGGCAGCACTAATTCTGTGCCCTCTGCCCTAAACGTCCTCGCTGGCGGTGCCCCGCCGGCCTGACCCTGCTCCCCTCACCTGAGAAAGGTCCCCAGGTGTGCTGGAACAAGCTGCTTCCTTGGAAAAGCCAAACTGGAGCTGTAAGCCAGCAATATCCCCAAATCCCCCCATTTTCTGCCCCACAACAAGGAGCTGCAGGTGCCCCTGGCTCAGGTGCAGCTCAGGGATCCGAAACCAGAGTGTCACCCATTCCAAACTGGAATCCCAAATTGGAGTGTCACCCATCCCAAATTGGAGTGACATCCATCCCAAACTGGAATCCCAAATTGGAGTGTCACCCATCCCAAATTGGGATCCCAAATTGGAGTGTCACCCATCCCAAACTGGAGTGTCACCCATCCCAAATTGGGATCCCAAAATGGAGTATCACCAATCCCAAACTGGAGTGACACCCATTCCAAATTGGGATCCCAAATTGGAGCGTCACCCATCCCAAATTGGAGCATCACCAATTCCAAATTGGAATGCCACCCATCCCAAATTAGGATCCCAAATTGGAGTGTCACCAATCCCATATTGGAGTGTCACCCATCCCAAACTGGGATCCTAAACTGGAGTGACACCCATCCCAGATTAGGATGACAAATTGGAGGGTCACCCATCCCAAATTACATCCTCATCCCCCAGCTGATTTTTGGCTCCTCTCACGCCCTCGAGGTTTGTCCCCAGCCCCTGCAGGTCCTTCCGGAGCTCAGCCATGTCCACCAGCACCCACAGCCACGCCGGCAGCCAGCAGTTCCCGGGGAACTGCACCCTGGAGAAGGCCCTGAATACCGTGGTGGATGTGTTCCACCAGTACAGCGTCCGCAAGGGCCTGAACGACCTCCTGAACCTCAGCGAATTAAAGACGCTGCTGGAGGAGCAGGTGCCGTCCTTCCTGAGGACCTGCGTGAGTGCCCGGGGGACAATCCCATGGGGACGGGGCTTTGGGGGGCAGGGGCACTGGGGGGTTCCATCTCACCTGGTTTGGGTCACCCCTGCTCTGATTTTTTTTTTTTTTTCTGATTTTTGCAAGGCCCAATCCAAAAATTCCCTTGTCGATGGCAGATAAATTGTTGTGGAGTCTTTGTCAGCAATCTCGCTCTGGCTCTGGTTATGATCCGAGCCGTCATTTCTAATGGTGTAAAAACTGGTTTTGGAGATTTGTAGGATGAGAAAATCCCTTTGATTATCAACAGAGGATCCCTCTTTGAGGTCCCACTGAAATATGAGACCATACAATTGCATTTTTTCCCCTCACACTGCAAGAAGAAACAGCTGTGGCATCGATGTGCTTGTCTTTGTTGGAGGGCCTCAGCAGCTCTCTCAGCTTTCTCAGCTTTCTCTCAGCTCTGAGGGTTCTGGGAGATCTAATGTTGCAGTCTCCTCTCAATGAGTTGAAAAGTGGTGCAACTTCATCGTTGGTGATTCCCAAAATTGGCCTGGTCCGATTGATTTCTCCTAAAAGCTGCTGTGCCCCCGGCCACAGGGGTTTGGGACAAAATCCTTGGGACAAATCCTCTGGGACAAAATCACCTTGGAACCCCCTGTCCCAGCCCCCTCCTCCCCCTGGCACCTCCAGGGTGATCAAAGCCACCCAAAATTAAACCTCTGGGGTTCAAAGCCACCCAAAATTAAACCTCTGGGGTTCAGTTTGGGGCTAAGGGCAAGGGAGGGGAGGGCTGGGACATCCTGCAGCTTCCAAACCCTTCCCAGGGCAGCTCCGGGGGTGGATCCAGGGATGTGACCCCCCCTTTGTGTCCCCAAATCCAGAACAGGAACCAGGCCGGCTACTTGGACAAGCTTTTCCAGGAGACCGACCTGAACAAGGACAAGGAGGTGAACTTTGAGGAGTTCACCATCTTGCTCAGCAAGCTGGCCGACGACGCCCACCGCATCAGCCACGGCTCCGACCGCTGCGGGCCGGACCGGGACTGAGCCCGGCGTGGAAATGGGAGAGGGAAGCTTCGGGAATTGGGATCTGGCTGCTCCCTGCCAGCCTGGAACAGCCCCTGGAGCAGCCCCTCCGATTTGGGATCCCAGTTTGGGATGGGTGACCCTCCAGTTTGGGATGGGTGACCCTCCAGTTTGGGATCCCAGTTTGGGATGGCTGATTCTCCAATT